GCGAGTCTCCTGCCTCAGTCTCCCAGGTAGCTGGGACCACAGGCACCTGCCACAATGCCCAGCTGTTTTTTTGGTTGCAGCTGTCATTGTTGTTTTTGGTAGGCCTGGGCTAGATTCGAACCCACCACCTTAGGTGTATGTGGCTGGCGCCTTGGCCACTTGAACCACAGGCACTGAACCCACAGGTTTGTATTTTGATGGAAAACGTTTCTTTTCTCTCTCTCTCTTTTTTTTTTTTTTTGTAGAGACAGAGTCTTTCTTTATCACCCTCGGTAGAGTGCTGTGGCGTCACAGCTCACGGTAACCTCCAACTCCTGGGCTTAGGCGATTATCTTGCCTCAGCCTCCTGAGTAGCTGGGACAACAGGCACCTGCCACAACGCCTGGCTATTTTTTTGTTGCAGTTTGGCTGGGGCTGAGTTTGAACCCACCACCCTCGGTATATGGGCCAGTACCCTACTCACTGAGCCACAGGCACTGCCCTGGAAAATGTTTCTTTCATGGTACTTTACCTGAGCTGGTGGTGATATAGTTGTATATTCAGGGTGAAAAGTGTCTGCTTTCACCTTCTTTGGTGTGCTGCTTGTTTGTGCTGTGGATCTGGGTCCCAGCCAGCAGTTTGACTTCTTTGTTTTCATGGGCATCTGTAGATGTGACTGAATGTCAGAAATTTTATTTTTCATGTTTTCAGGTTTATTTCCAGTTTGTGTGTTTGTGAACTTGGGGTTTTTATTCATGAATCTCTGCTGCCATACTGTGCTTTTTATTGAGTGTGGCGGGTGTTCTGGGATGTGTGGTTGTATAAGTCAGGACATCTGGGGACTGACTTAGCTCTTAGCCGCAGAGGACTTGGATGAGGTATTTGACTTAAACCACTTTTTAAAATTATTTTTTAAACTATGTGCATGTTTGATTTGGGGGCAGATGACATTTGTGGCAGGGTTGTTCTTCAGGCTCTTCTGTGAGGGACAGCCCCTCTGTGTCACCCTCTAGGTGTGTGGAGTTGCACCAAGTGCCCTGCTCTGTGGATGGACATTGAGGCTGTCTCTTATGGTTACAGGCAGTGTTGCAGTGAGTGTGCTCAAGCGCAGCCACGTTGCAGGTGCTCATGTGCCACTCTAGGCTGTGCTCGGGACCTTGAAGTGTTGGTTGAGGTGTAGGTGGTTCCCACTTCTGGATGTGACTGGTCATGCACCTCAGGCTTACTGCTGGTCACTCAGCAGCATCGCATGCAGTGTCTCTCCCTTAATCTGGTATTGTCCGCTTGCCATTCAGCATCTGTTACCAAGTTCCTACTATGTGCCCTGTGGTGTTCTAGGTGCCAGGGGTATAGCTGTGAACAAACAGACCATACCCTTCCCTGCATGGTGCTGGCACTGCAGTGGGACAAGCGCTGACCTGCGTGTACTTTTGAACTTTGTTAATGTGTTGGTGAAAGGCAGTGTCCATGTGCTCTGCATCTCTCCTGAAAGAGATCTAGCACCTTTGACACACTTAAGGGCCATTTCCTTTTCTGTGAAGTTCATGTTCCCATTGTAGCCCCTTCTTTTATTTATTTATTTTGAAGCAGAGTCTCAAGCTGTCATCCTGTTTTCAGTGCCATGGCATCATTGTAGCTTACAGCAACTTCCCAACTCTTGGGCTCAGATGATCTCTGGCTTCAATTTTTCTGTTTTTAGTTGAGATGGGGATCTTACTCTTCCTCAGGCTGGTCTTGAACTTGTGATCTCAAGCAATCCACCAGCCTTGGCCCCCCAGAGTGCTAGGATCACAGGCACCCCACACTGTAGCCCCTCCTTCTGGGTTGCTCACCATTAATCAGAGTTTCTCACCCGCATGCTACTTTGGGCTCAGTGCTTCTTTGTCCTATATGTGTTTGAGATGTTTAACTGCATCCTGGCCTACACATGCTTTCAGGTAAAAATGTTTCCAGATGTCCCAGGTCACAATGTTACAGTGGAGGAAAATACAGAAAAACTTTACTCAACAGCTTTCTTCTTTTAGTCTGGCCTATATAGAGAAGAGGTGACGTATTGGGAAGGTGTGGGTACCCCGCAGCCCTGTGTTGGGAGGTTCCGTGGGATGCACACATGTTGTGATATATAAAGCTACAATGAGAAATCCCCCTTATTTAGATCAGCGTTTCTCAGCCTGTAGGTCGCGACCCCCCACAGGAACTGTATTAAAGGGCCGAGGTATTAGGAAGGTTGAGAACCACTGATTTAGGTGCTTTGAGGCTTAAATTTTTTACTTTAATCGCTGAATTTGAAAGAACACACAAGTTCTATACCAAACCTATTTTGCATGTAACCTGTTTTGACAAACTTGAAAGTCGTCTGATCTTCCACCATCTGGTGTCTGTTTTGAGGCGGCCTTTCTTTCTCCTGGTGTGCATAGTGGCTCACTGGGTCGCAGTTCACAGGTTGCCAGTCTGCTAGGCTGTGGGTGCCTCTGGTCACCCTTGGCAAGGCTCCAGGAGGAAGCTGTTAGATCTCTAGGGATCCTGTGGTCCTGACTCCTATAGGAATGCAGGAAATGAGTCGACAACTGAAATGTTCGGCCCTCTCTAATTTGTATTGACCAGTCATTTTGAGGTTTGGGGGTATTTTTTTGTTTGTTTTGTTTTGTTTGTTTGTGACAGAGTCTCACTCTGTGTCCTGTGGCATAACTCATAGCAACCTCAAACTCCTGAGCTCAAGCAGTCCACCTGCCTGGGCTTCCCAGAGTCTGAGATTACAGGTGTAAGCCTCCCTGCCTGGCCAGTCCTTCTGAGTTTAGAGTAACAGCTTTAAGCAACTCTATCCTTGTGATGGTAAATTCCATTTTGATTAGTTTTACCTAGTTGTTATATAACTTGCTTCAGAATCTTTTTTTTGAGACAGAGTCTTACTTGGTCACCCTTAATAGATTGCTGTGGTATCTTAGCTTGAAGCAACCTCAACCTCTTGGATTGAAGTGATCCTCTTGCCTCAGCCTCCCAAGTAACTGGGACTATAGGTGCCTGCCACAACACCCAGCTATTTTTTGAGACAGGGTCTCGCTCTGGCTTGGTTTGATCTCAAACCTGTGAGTTCTGGCAGTCCATGCCTTGGCCTCCCAAGTGCTGCTTGCTTCAGAATTTTGAGAAAATTTTAAATAAAATATTAGGGTCTTTTTTTTTTTTTAATTTGAGACAGCGTCTCACTATATCAATCACCCTTGGTAGAGTGCCATGGAGTCACAGCTCACAGCAACCTTAAATTCTTGAGCTTAAGCGATTCTCTTGCCTCAGCCTCCCAAGCAGCTGGCACTACAGGTGCCCACCACAGTGCCTAGCTATTTTTTTGTTGTTGTTGCAGTTGTCATTGTTGTTTAGCTGGCCCAGGCCAGGCTCGAACCCACCACTCTTGGTGTATGTGGCTAGCACTAACCACTATGCTATGGGCGCCGAGCCGAAATTTATAGGTTTTTATTTATTTATTTTATTATATTATTTATTTATTTATTTTTGTAGAGACAGGGTCTCACTTTATCGCCCTTGGTGTCACATAGCTCATAGCAACCTCCAATTCCTGGGCTTAGGCAATTCTCTTGCCTCAGCCTCCTGAGGAGCTGGGACTACAGGTACCCTCTACAACGCCTGGCTATTTTTTGTTGCAGTTTGGCCAGGGCCTGGTTTGAACCTGCCACCCTTGGTATATGGGGCTGACACCCTACCCACTGAGCCACAGGCGCCACTCTTATTTTTTTTGGAGACAGAGTCTCACTTTGTTACCCTCAGTAGAGTGCTGTGGCTTCACAGCTCACAGCAACCTCCAGCTCTTGGGCTTAAGCAATTCTCTTGCCTCAGCCTCCTGAGTAGCTGGGACTATCGATGCCTGCCACAACGCCTGGCTATTTTTTGTTGCAGTTTGGCTGCCAGGGCCAGGTTTGAAGGTGCCACCCTCAGTATATGGGGCCAGCGCCCTACTCACTGAGCCATAGGCACCGCCTTAGGTTTTTATTTTATGTATGTATGTATGTATGTATGTATGTATTTATTTTGAGACAGAGCCTCAAGCTATCACCCTGGATAGAGTACTGTAGCATCACAGCTCGCAGCAACCTCCAACTCCTGGGCTCAAGCAAGTCTACTGCCTCTGCCTCCCAAGTAGCTAGGACCACAGGCACCCGCCACAGCGCCTGGCTATTTTTTGGTTGTAGCCGTCATTGTTTGGCAGGCCTGGGCTGGATTCAAACCCGCCACCTTAGGTGTATGTGGCTGGTGCCTTATCCACTTGAGCCTTAAGGCGCCGAGCCATACTTATTTATTTTTTGAGACAGAGCCTTACTTTAGTCTTACTTTATTCATTTATTTATTTTGAGACAGAATCTCACTCTCACCCTGGGTAGAGTGCCATGGAGTCATCATAGCTCACAATAAGTTCAAACTCCTGGGTTCAAGCTATCCTGCTTCAGTCTCCCAGGTACCTGGGACTACAGGCACCTGGCACAACACCTGACTTTTTTTGGTTTGTTTTGTTTTTTAAGAGACGGAGTCTTGCTCTTGCTTAAGTTGGTCTCAAACTTCTGAGCTCAGGTGATCTACCTGTCTCCCAGAGTGCGGGGATTACAGGTGTGAGCCATCGCACCAGCCTTAGGTTAAAATTTTATTTTATTCTATTTGTTTATTTCTTGGAGACAGAGTCTTACTTTGTCACCCTTGGTAGAGTGCTGTGGCGTCATAGCACTAACTCTTGGGCTAAGCAATTGTCTTGCCTCAGCCTCCTGAGTAGCTGGGACCACAGGTGCCCATCACAACACCCAGCAATTTTTAGAGACGAGGTCTTGCCCTGGCTTAGGTTGGTCTCAAACCTGTGAGCTCAGGTAAGCCACCACGTCTGGCTCTAGATTAAAATTTTTAAATATTTTTTTTCATATCAATAAAATTAATTTGTTCATTTCCACTCGTGTCCCATTAATTTTGGAATTTTACATCTCATTTAATCCAACTGTGATTTCTTCTTCTTTTGTGTCTTTCAGCAAGCGTGGATTCAGCGTCCGGTCCTTTGGAACAGGAACTCATGTGAAGCTTCCAGGACCAGCACCTGACAAGCCGAATGTTTATGATTTTAAAACCACATATGATCAGATGTACAATGATCTTCTTAGGAAGGACAAAGAACTGTATCCCAGTGGGTTGCCCTTTTAAAACCCCTCTGTGGTCATCCCTGGCAGGTGCCATTTGTGACATGTGTATCATTCTGACCCTGACTCTGGAAGGAGGCAGGTGTACCAACGTACCATGCTTACAGCACACACACTCACCCCTTCTTAGTTGGGAACGTGGTTTATGTTCTCAGTGCTCATTGTATAGTCTGAGGGTTAGATCCATTCACAGGCCTGGAAGCTTTGAGGTACAGTCAGGCCGTAGGTTCTGACATGCATCGACCAGAGAACTTAGACAAGGAAAATGCAACCAAAAAATCCCTATTGTTTTCACACTGCAGGGCTGCCCAGTTATTTTCTTCACAGGTGTGTAGGTGCATGTGCGTGTACCTGCACACACTTGTGCACATGGACTTGTGCTGCTTCACGTGTCCAGTCATGTTAGAGGGTCAACTGGAGAGGAGGGCTAAGTTAGCTGCCCAAACTGGTAGAAGTAAGTAACTGAAGAGAATGTTACTTCATTTCAGGAAGAGACAAAACACCCTGGATCTGCTGCTTAAGACTCATGTGAAAAGGTATTTTAAAAAATAGATTTTTATGAAAGTGACACCAAATTGTGTAATTGTTAACGATAATCAGTGCCTAGAGATTTTGACCAGGCATTTCATGATCACCCCCCACACTGCTTTAAAATTTTTGGACCTCACCTATAATCCTAGCACTCTGGGAGGCCGAGGTGGGTGGATCGCCTAAGCTCATGAGTTTGAGACCAGCCTGAGCCAGAGCAAGACCTCATCTCTAAAAATAGCCAGGCGTTGTGGCTGGCGCCTGTAGTCCTAGCTTCTCAGGAGGCTTAGGCAAGAGAATTGCTTGAGCCCAAGAGTTTGAGGTTGCTGTGAGCTGTGATGCCATGGCACTCTGCCGAGGGCAACAAACTAAAACTCTGCCTCAAAATGAATAAATAATTTCTGGACCTTCTTTTGCTACAATGAGCAGTTCTCAGAATGAAGCTCAAACATATTCTAGGCAAAAGGAACACATCAATTGAACACCTTTTGTCTTCATACTGGCACTTTGCAATGTTTAATAAATGAAACAAGGCTTTGGTAAACATGCAAATTAAATGGCCAGCTGGGAGGGGCACAGGGTCACTAGCAAAATGTGAGCCTGGATCCTGGCCATAAGGGTACCTCCTGCCAGGAGTCCCTGCTCACTCTCCTGGCAGCTGTAGTTAAAAGGCTGTGGTAGGGATGTTGGGGCAGAGTCCTAATCATCTCCTGTCAGCGCCACAGCCAGCCTGCCAAACCAGGTGAGGTCGCCAGGAGTGTGCAGTGCCTGTGATGCCGCAGTGTGGGGCCTTCCAGGCAGTAGCCCTGGGTACTCAATGTGCATTTCTCAGGGTCCTTGAGCACATTCTGTTGCCCTGCTCTTCTCAGAAATCCTGGAACCTATGTTTGAAAAAATCTCCCTAAGGATTTCTGATGAATTGCAGGCGTGCTGCGTCCTTGTCTCAGTGTTGGGCACAGCTCGTGCCTGCTCTGCTCATGTCCTTGGGTAAGAGGAAGGGGGAGCAGTCTCAGAAGGCCCCTCTAAAGAGCTGCCTGTCTCATCACTTGCTGTGTATTTGTCCCTGAACCTTACAGAGAAGTGTGACCACAAAATCCCTTTCTGAGAGTTTTGTTGGGGGCTGTGTATTTCCCTTGGCCCTAGGACCTCCAGGCTTTTATAACTAACATAAAACTCTCTCTTTTTTTAAAATTTCCTGAACTGTTCTATTCTTTCTTTTTTTTTTTTTTTTTTTTTGAGACAGAGCCTCAAGCTATCCCCCTGGGTAGAGTGCCATGGCATCACAGCTCATAGCAACCTCCAACTCCTGGGCTCAAGCGAGTCTCCTGCCTCAGCCTCCCAAGTAGCTGGGACCACAGGCACCCGCCACAACTCCTGGCTATTTTTTTTTTTTTGGTTGCAGCCATCATTGTTGTTTGGCGGGCCCGGGCTTCGAACCTGCCACCTTAGGTGTATGTGGCTGGCGCCTTAGCCACTTGAGCCACAGGCGCTTAGCCTCTATTCCTTCTTTATCCTCAGATCTTTTTTACCCCCAAGACAAAGGATAGTGTTACCTGAGGTAGTTATTTCCTTTACATTATTTTTTAGTCTCTCATTTTTTCTATTATATCCTTTTCTATTGTTAAAAGCAATTAATTTTAATTCAGAGACATTCAACTCTTGGGTACTGTGAAATTTATCCTGAGATCTAATGAACTCTTGAGTTAAGTTAGTACCATTCTTTTTTTTTTTTGGCCGGGGCTGAGTACCATTTATTTTTATTTTTATTATTTTTTTATTTTTTTGAGATAGAGTTTCACTTTGTCACCATTGGTAGAGTGCTGTGATGTCACAGCTCACAGCAACCTCTAACTCTTGGCCTTAAGCAGTTCTCTTGCCACAGCCTCCCAAGTTGCTGAGACTACAGGCATCCACCACAACGCCCAGCTATTTTTTGTTTGTAGTTGTCATTGTTTGGCAGGCCTAGGCTGGGTTCAAACCCGCCAGTTCTGGTGTATGTGGCTGGCGCCCTAGCTGCTGAGCTACAGGCCCCGAGCCTACCATTCATCGTTAAATTCTTGTACTCAATGAGAAAAATAAAAACAAAGTAATGCACGTGTTCATACTCCCTTAATTAGCTCCCTTTTGTGTCAGAGCCAACTGTGATCTCCCGTTGCTGAAAGCTAGTCCCATTTCCCCCATTTTACAGGGACTGAGTCCAACTTCAGCTGTCAAGCTCAGAGGCCCTTGGTGTGGGGGATGGTGTGTGTCCTAGGCCCTTCTGAATGGAGCTGAGTCTCAGAATCCAGAAACTCCTGCACAGGGTCACTTTGCATAGGGCAGTGGTCTCCTCCCCATGAAGCCTGTCTAAAAGAAGATGTGTACCCGCAAGTGTCACCTTGGTGCAGAGGTGGAGCTGGGGTTTTTGTGGCCATGATCGTAGTGTTGTGACATCATGTCACCAACAGTATTTGCCTTTCAGGGACCCCGTGTAGGCAGGTCCTCTCCTTTGGGCTGTGGGAGGAGGGACACCTTTGGCCCTAAAGTCTTGTAGGTGGGTAGGATGGGGGCACAGCAGGGTGGTAGGTGCTTAGCTGAGTTTTTTCCAGCACTGCCCTCACCAGGGAAGGAGGGATGTCTCCCAGGAGTTCCATGGACTTTGGCATGGTACTGAGGGGGCCCACGTTCTTCCATGCAGAGGAGGACAGCAGAGGTGGGGGAGGCAGGATGGGCGGGTGCCTCCTACTTCTTGATGGATGGCTTCCCGCAGCCTCTGGGAGGCAGGTGCCCTGCTAACATGATTAGTGGTGGGTTGGGGCCTGCATGACACCTGCAGATAAGAGCTGGAAGCCCAGACTTGTGACAGAACAACCCATGAGTCTGCAGACATGGTAGTTGCTAAAATCTGCAGCAGAAAGCTAGCAGAATGTCTTAAGATGTAACTCAAAGATAAAATTCAGCACTTGGTGAAGCATGTAAATGTTCAAAGGACAGGGTGACACAACTTGGCAGGGAAGTGCTGCCACACTAGGCAGAGCTGAGGGAAGAAGGGACTGGGGACCCTCCCTGCACAGTCCCCATGGTACTGTGATCTTAAATGTGCTGCTGGGCCAGGGCTTCAGTTTCCTCATGTGTCCCCACCTCAGAATTTCTAACAATAAATTAGAACGTGCACATACTGAGCATTACACCTTGTGTGTGTTTATTTTTCTGAGACAGAGTCTTGCCCTGGGTAGAGTGCTGTGGCATCATCATAGCTCACAGCAACCTCAAACTCCTGGGCTCAAGCAATCCTCATGCCTCAGCCTCCTGAGTAGCTGGGACTACTGGTGCCCAGCATGCCTAGCTAGAATTTTCTGTTTTGTGTAGAAGGAGGTCTCAGTCTCACTCAGGCCTATGTTGAACTCCTTCCCTCAAGTGATACTCCCACTTTGGCCTCCCACAGTGCTCGGATTACAGGTATGAGCCCTACTGCACCTGACCCAGCAGCTGTGTTTTACTACATTTTTTGGAAACAATGTGTGTTTTCATAAATAAGTGATTTCCTAAGCCATGTATTAATTCCCAGAGTCTAATTGTGCTGATACTTAACACTGCAGGTTTTAGGAATGCACTCAATGGCCTTAAGGAGTTTATGAAAGCCTCAGTAGCAGCCGTTGTATCCAGAAGCTGTTGGCCTGCTTGTCTCATCAGATGTCAGAAGTTCAACAGAGCCTGATGCTGAGGGTCACTCGAGGGCCTGAGTGGGATGGAATCACCCTGATGGGGCCTGTTGCTGGTCCAGCCAAGGCTCCTGGCCTCAGGCTGCTCTGTCTGTGCTGAGGCCGTAGTTAGGGATGTGCAGGAGCTGGTGGGGCTGACATGGAGATGTCTTTCAGGCTTCCTGAGTTCTGTTAGTGCAGTCTGTGCTTTGTAGAAGCACTGCTTCACAAAATGAACTTTTTTTTTCTTTTGAGACAGTCTCACTATGTCACCCTCAGTAGAGTTCTATGGCGTCACAGCTCACAGCAACCTCAAACTCTTAGACTCAAGCAATTCTCTTGCCTCAGCCTCCCAAGTAGCTGGGACTATAGGCCCCTGCCACAGTGCCTGGCTATTTTTTTTGTTGTAGTTGTCATTGCCGAATAGCAGGCCTGGGCTGGGTTTCAGCCAGCTAGCCCCAGTGTATATGGCCAGTGCTCTAACCACTGAGCTACGGGCACCAAGCTCAGAACTTATTTCTTAGTATGTTGACTCAGAAGCCATAGCTCACCAGTTTGGGGTATAACAATTCCCAGAGCACAGTTAGAGGATCTAAGATTGACTTTCTGAGGGCCCAGAGCCTAAACATGTCCCCTCCTGAGTGTGCCAGGCTCTTGCTCACCCCATGTGGAGCTGTGCACATGGTTTGTGGGCAGCACAGGCCTTTACTGACTAGAGCCCAGCTGTGGGGCTGGAGTCTCACTGAGTGGTCACAATGTTGCCCGGGGCAA